TGATTTATTTATATTTTCATCATGTTCCCAATGATCATTCTTCCCATCATTATCATCATCATCATTATTATCATTATAGTCATCAATATCTGTTTCATCAGTTGAAATTGAATCCGTAATAACATAATTTTGTAATGTAGATTCACAATCACTATATGAGTCATTTAATATATTTATTTTTTCTTTCTTTTGCAATTTTGTATTTGCAATATCGCTCTGCAATTTATTCGTACTGTATGTTACATGTCCAGGTTCATCTATATAATGTAGAAAACAAAAAAAATATATAGAAAATTATAATATTCTGTAACTATTGTAACATGTACAATATATAATATATTAATCCTATACAATACAAACATGCTAAAGACATTCAAAGGACGTCCACAGGATATCAATCGAATAAAATGTATTGTATTAGACATAATAATATTAGACATAACAATAAAAAAGTAAATAATTAAAATATTACTTTTATACAACAGTATTAATAACTAATGTATTATTGAAAGATTATTATTGAATATTATTTTATATTATAATATTGAGTACGTAATATATATTATAATTGTATTGTAATATTGAGAAATTGTATTGTATTATTGAATAATATAATACATACGTGAAAAATAAGAAGAGAAAGCAATGTTTCTCAATGCAGACTTAATCCGTCGATGTTTTTGTACACGTTCGCGTATTTTTTCTTTTCTATCCATTTTCTCAAAATAATGAACTAAATAACGTTTTCAAAAATTAGTAATATTTATATATAATATAATTTAGAACTATCTAGCAGTTATATCAGTTATATAAAGGTTAGAAAAAAGATTACACTAAGCACTAAGATCATTTAATTCAGCATTTACAGGTAGTTTTCTATCATATTAGTGTGTAATTTTTTTCATCTATGTCATTAGTATACTCACTAGACAATCCCGATCAGATTCGAGATATACTGATAGTTTTTCATGTCGTCTGACATTTCATTTCTATGTAGGATTTACAGCATATTGGTACTAGATAGTGACTAGACAGAATTTAATATTGTAACATAACCTTCTTTTCGACGTGCAGAGTAATGTAATCCTGCTAGTGGCGAGATAGTAGCTAGACTGTATATTTTAAAAAAGACAGCGCCACCTACTACTCATTTTCTATTTAGTGACTAGACAGCAGCTAGATAATTAAAGTTTGATTAGAAGTATTTTGCCAGTCACAAGCTAGTGACTGGCTAGAAAACTTATCTAGTCATTACTATCTAGCTACTAGTCTTGAAATCAAATCTACTAGATACATTTCTGCTCGGGTAATTGATGCAATTTTCATAAGTAAATAATGTGTTCATAGTAGCAAGTTTCAAATATAAAGATTTATTAGATAATATAAATTTAACAATTTTGGAATCGCGCATCTTACAAAATTCCACTACCAAATCTTGAATCGACAGCGGAAATGGTTTGTCAGTTTGCAGAAGCCGTTGGATGTCGAGACGTTTTTCCATCAGCTTCCTCCAAATTTCTGTAGGTAATATTAATTGATTACCGCAATTGTCACCGATGATTATTTCCAAGGTAGGCACAGGTCCTACGTTGATCCCAATCTCCAAATATTTGTACGACGTTGCAGTCAGAGCATATCTGCGTCCCAGGATATGAGCAGTATGGCACCGCATTTATACATGTTGTCGAGCGCTGTCTAATTTGGCTGCTGATAACGAATTCTCTACAGTTGTAGCAGGATATATATATTTTTTAGATAGAGCGTGACACAAGGATTTTAGTTTGAGTTTCTTTGGAAAACTTTGGGAGGGGGGACATAGGAAAAATAGAACATATAAAATCAGGAAGATTTTCAGCGCGCGTTTAGTCCAACCTTCAGACAATGACAAACATCGAACGCGAGCAACAAGTTCTTGCTGAAGACTATACCAACGACAGCAAGAAAAAATGTCCTAAAACAGAATGGATACTAGAAAAAAGTAACTATAAAAAATCAAAACAATTTGTGAAAGTGCGTTTTTGTGAAAAAATGGAAGAACTCGCGCGAGTTGAACGTGAACTGCAGGAGCAGTCCGCTCGATTGAGTTCGCGAGACGAATACGACACGTGGGTGCAAAAGTGTGACGAGTGCCTCGAGTTGTTGGAAGAACATAGTCGGGCTAAACGACTGCGATTATTGATCGGTATTAGACAGTCATTGATTGCTCGAATCGCGCAACTCGAGGGTTTAAAAAATACGTTGTGCACACGTTTCGTTCACGCGGGTGCAGGACACAGCACGAGAGATGCAGGACTCGTTTGGCGCGAGGTCGATACCGCGTTCGATAACCGCATATTAACCGGAATTGTCATCAACGCGAACCACATCGAACCTCGTCAATTTCTCGAGGATGCAAAGACTATGGTGCTCGAGCACATACGGGATGCAATGGAGAGACACGTAAACGTGAAAGTGAACACTGCGTTTAACAGTGAGTTCGTCGCGGGTGAAAAACGTGCGGTAAAGAGCATCGCTACGAAAAACTGTGAACTCTTTTCCACATCCAACTTAGAGGAGTGGTACGAGCGACGCATCGTCCAGCTCACTTTAGCATCGTTGGAGGAATTCCAGGAACGCGATAGCGGGTGGGCATTATCGCGAATACTCTATCTTACAATCAATGTGAACAAATACAATCCGTTGCACGCAGGATGTTATTTCGAGTTACCGCGTATGATACAGCTGAAGCGAGCTGTAATTAATGTGAAATCTGCGGATAATGCATGTTTCGCGTGGGCGGTGATCGCTGCTCTTCACCCAGCCGAAAACAATGCAGATCGCGCATCATCGTATCCCCATTACATGAACGTACTCAATATTCAAGACATTGAGTTTCCGATGTCTGTAAATCAAACTACAAGATTTGAACGATTAAACGATATATCCATCAATGTATACGGCATCATGGGAGAAAAGAACGAATCCATTGTTCCGGTACGTCTTAGCGATGGAAAGAGGGAAAAGCATGTGAACTTGCTGCGCATTTCGGATCCTCGAGACCGCAACACGGGACACTTCGCCTGGATCAAGGACTTATCCAGGCTCGTGAGTTCTCAATTGAGCAAGAAAAAAGCCAGAAAATACATTTGCGATCGGTAAGTACATTTCATGAATTCAATGTATCGGAAGTATGAAACGATAGTAAATTGCAATGTTTTTTTATAGATGCCTGCACTATTTCCACTCCAACGAAAAGCTAGAGAGTCACGCGGTAGACTGCGAAAAATTAAACGACTGTGCCATCCTGCTACCCAGCGAAGACAATAAATGGTTGAGTTTTAGCAATCATAGCAGCAAGGAGTGAGTTCCATTTGTGGTGTATGTCGACCTTGAGTGCATCTTACAGAAGACGGTAAGTGAGAAAGAAGAGGAGGGATGTTCATCGCATGCGTATCAGCATCACAAAGTATTTAGTATAGCATATTACTTGCGTTGCTCGTACGACGATTTGTTATCATATTTTCGGAGCCGTCGCGATACTGATTGTATTTCGTGGTTCGTCGAGCAACTAGAAAAGTTACCGTGTAAAAGAAAAGTTATCAACCAATGTCGACATGGAAACTTTGTCGAAGGAACAGTAGGCGGCATTTCATAACGCGACGCAATATCACGTGTGCGAGAAGCCATTTGCGACAAAGGATACACGCGTACGCGATCGTTGTCACTTCACCGGACGGTATAGAAATCCCGCGCACTCAAACTGTAATTTAAATTACAAAAATTCATATCATATTCCAATAGTTTTTCACAATTTATCTGGTTATGATTCACATTTTATTATTAAAGAAATAGCTAACGCATTTGAGGGGTCAATCGATGTACTACCAATAACAAAAGAAAAATACATTTCGTTTACAAAGAACGTCCAAGATACAGCAGATAAATATAAAAATATTGTAAAATTGCGTTTCATCGATTCCTATAAATTTCTCAGCAGCAGTCTCGACAAATTAACATCTTTTCTCACTAAAGACAAGTTAAAAATTGTACGGTCGGAATTTTTACAATTATCCGTCGAAGAATTTTATTTATTGACGCGAAAAGGTGTCTTTCCGTACGAATACGTGGATTGTGTGGACAAGCTGCAGGATGTGTGTTTATGCCGCGGGAATCGTTTTACAGTTCGTTGACGGGCGATACGGTATCCAAGAGCGATTACGCGCACGCTGCAAACGTCTGGCAACGATTCTCTATTCGAATCTTGGGCGAATACAGCGATTTGTACCTGAAGACTGATGTCTTGTTATTGGCCGATATTTTTGAAAATTTTCGCGATAGCTGTATCGCAAGTTATGGATTAGATCCTGCGTATTATTATACTTTGCCAGGTGGGTTTTACGTGGGATGCAATATTGAAACATACCGGCATAAATTTTGAATTGCTCACTGACTTGATATGCTCATGTTCATCGAACGCGGTTTACGTGGTGGCTTGAGTCAATGTTCCGGTAGATACGCGCAAGCCAATAACAAGTACATACAGTTTTACGATCCATCGAAATTATCGTCGTATCTGATGTACTTTGACGTAAACAACTTGTACGGGTGGACAATGTGTCAACCGCTGCCTTACGCTGAATTTCAATGGGTTACAGACTTTTCAAAATTTGATGTATCTTCAATCGCTATCGATTCATCCATAGGTTATATTCTCGAGGTCGACTTGGAGTATCCGGAAGATTTACATGACGCACACGCTGATCTACCGTTTTGCCCAACGCGTGATAAACCACCCGGTAAAAGACAGGAAAAACTTCTCGCGACGCTATACAATAAACAACGTTATGTTATTCATTATCGCAACCTGCAGCAGTGCACGCGTCATGGTCTTCGTATCGTAAAGATATACCGCGTGCTTCAATTTGCTCAATCTCCATTGCTCCGCGATTATATCGAATTAAACACACAATTTAGAACGCGTGCAACTAATGATTTTGAAAAAAATTTATACAAATTGATGAACAATGCAGTATTCGGCAAAACGATGGAAAATGTTCGCAATCATGTAGATGTAAAACTGTTGATAAAATGGGATGGAAGGTACGGTGCTGAGACAATGATCGCAAAACCAAATTTTCATAGTAGAAGCGTTTTCGCCGAAAATTTGCCGTTGAATTGCGCAAACTCGAGGTGAAATTTAACAAGCCGATCTATGTGAGTATGTGCATACTCGATATATCAAAGGTTTGTTTGTATGAATTTCATCACGAGTACATGTATCCTCTGTATCGCGACAAATGTAAAATAATGTACACTGACACTGACAGTCTTATTTACAACATCAAATGCGATGATGTATACGAGCACATAAAACGTGATATTGCAAGGTTTGATAGGAGTGATTATCCCGCTGACAACGTGTACAGTATATAAGAAAATGCTTGTAAATAAGAAAGTTCCGGGTTTGATGAAAGACGAAAACAATGGAGCGATAATGATGGAATTTGTCGGTCTCAGAGCGAAGATGTACGCGTTGAGAGTGAACAGTAAAAGGGATGCAAAAAAGGCCAAAGGCGTTAAAAGTAATGTCGTAGCGCGAACGATAACTTTTAACGATTATACACAATGTTTGAAAGAGGAGATTGAAACGACTCGCCAACAATCATGCATTAGATCAAAATT